AATAACAAACCTTTATTATATATATATATATGTACACATGTATATATATATCAAACATTGTTGCCGAGAAGAAGGATAAAAACGAGTATAAGACAGGGAAAACGATTATAGACAGGGCACAAAATTTATTTAATTATTTGAAAAAGAACAATCATTCAAGCGACACAAAATCGTTGTACTCCTCAATAAAAGTTAGGGAAAAGTCTTGCAAAGTAAATCTGTAAAATGTTTCATCGTATTTGAATAAGGGAAATATTAGTAATTATAATTGGTCAATTAAATTGGTCGCTGGAAAATATATTTCTCACAAGTTATAAAAGGGAAAAACATTGAAATTAATGCATACTTGAACTAAAAATAGATTAAAAGAATTTTAAAGTGTAAGGAAGAGCGTTTCATTTTGAATAATACATTAAGAAAAAGATTTACAGAAAAGGAATAACATAAAAAGTTTAGTTGTAGCTTTTTATGTTACACACAAATAAATATTCATATATATACATACATATAAGCATATAATATTGTTTACAGTAGTGGGGATTTATCAAAAAAATTATATTTTTCACAGTAACATGCTTACCAATAACGTTTGTTTTTCAACATCAAGACAATAAAGTTTACTGTTTCCACAACCTACATATAAAAGTCCATTATCATCCTAAAAATAAAATTTTTTCAAATATATATATCTTTACAGCACAATATATCAGTAATTACCAGAACTAAAAGAGTAATAATTTTCAAACTAATGAAAAAATGTTACAAATATAAATACTTGTACTGAAATTAAAGATTTTTAATTTCAGTTGTTGCAGATACAGGGTCTTCAATGAAACTAGTATTAAAAATAGTTGCTTTAGAATCCCCAAGGTTAAAAATAGTAGCCTAAATATCATTTTCAATTATAAATAATAGCAGCCTAAATAGAATCTTCTGATAATAAAAATAGCTCAAAAGGTAGAAGGAGAAAAAAATAATATTAAGTTTAAGAAAGTAGAGATGTTTCATAAAAACTGACCTTAGAAGGTTTTTTTAATATTTTTTATTTAGGATCGTTATCAGAAATGAAAACGAAAACGCATATTCGTGGGGGGGGGGAGCAAAAATATTATTTAACTGGGGAAAAAAACAAAAAGGGTAATCCAAATCGTAGTAAAAGAAAGTGAATGCAATTAACTGGTTTGATTGCATATGAGGAAATAGAGAGGATTTGAAAAACGATTATTAAAAACACCTTCGAATTTCAACTTCCAAATAAACCTGTTATCACATGCGTTTTTCTCCATTTTACCAGATTTCTATAGTATTGTTATTCATTCCTCGCTTAAGTATTCATGTGTTATCCTCTTCATGTCTAAACTTTTCATTTTTAAAATAAATATTAAGAGCAGACTTTTCGGAACATATTTATAATACATGGTTCATTCTAGGCAAAGTTTGCAAAGCATCATCTTGTTAAAACTTAAGTTACAAAAAATCACTCCCATCATGCTCTTTGACCTCGATTGAGCCCTACGATGTGTATATGTATAATAATAACCAACTTTGAACTAAATTATTACTCATGAACTTTGAACTCTTTTAAGCATTTTATTTATAAGGACTTCATTGTGAGCGCACTACATTTTCTGCAATTATTTATTGTGTTTTTTCCCCAGCCATTTCCACATACTTTTTCAAAATAGAAATTTTATAAATCACTTTTTTTTACAATTCTTAATGCACTGACTCCATTAATCCCATCTTTTTCTTGTCAGTTACCTATCACTTTTTTAGCAGTTTCCATGTGATATTTCAAACTTTGATATTTTAATTCCATGTCATTACAACAAACAAATTTCAAACTAATCACATTTTGACACACTTGATTTGCGATGATTGCATCACAATTCTACATTGCTTTCCGAAAGTCTTTTGCATTTGTTTATTATCTTTCTGAGCATTTACACGTTTATCGAAAATCTAATATTTTAAATATATTAGAACACATGAATTTAGGTAGAATAATTACTTTCTGATGTGCTTGATTCCTGATTATTACATTGTATTACATGCTTTCATTTTTCAGCAGATAGTTATTGTTTTTTAAGCCTTTGTCACATGGATTTTCAAATTACAATACCCTCACAATTACTTTCCATGCAATAACCCTGTTTGCCAACAATTATTTATAAATATTTTTTAGCTGTTTTTTGCATAAAATAGTAGTCATAGCTGTTTCTCCTTGTTTTTAGTAGAAAATAGTTGCATTTTAGTCACCAGAGGAGGCTCTGCAGTTAATGAAATATCAATTGATCAAATAAATAGTCTTAATGTATCAATATTGTACCTTTCCTTAATTAAAAAATACATCAAACTTCAATTAGGCACGATTTTATATAAAAATCAAAATTTATTCAGTACAATTTTAATCAAAATTAGCAATGCTGAATAGAATATAAGTGTTATAGACAATAGATACTAGCTGCTTTCAGCAGCCAGCTGTTCCATTTTCACAAACTCATTTCTATGCAGCCTTTCACAGAAATGATCTGCATCCAGGGTATGAAGAATTTTAATTCTCATGGCATTATCTGATTAACTGTATTTAATCTTTTTTTGATCTTTCATACATTGGATTAAAAAAATTTTATTTTATATTTTACGCATAAACAAGTAAAGCAAAAAACTTTTTTATTACTCATAATTATGTTTACTTATTTTAAATTTAATCCTAGGGAAACATAAATTTACTAACAAAAACACTTAATTACTTTTTTACTGAGGACCATAGCATTTATTTCTGGCTTCACCAAGCTATCACTGAAACAAAATGGGATAAAGAAATAATTAATTTTCATTTTAAAAATAAATAAATGTTTAAAGCACAATACAAAATTTGTGTTAAACTATTAAATTTTAAATACCCTTGTGGTATTGTGAAGCTCCAACATGACTTAGCATTTTTCTTCTTAACGTCAGACCATTTCCAGACTTTTAATTCAGCAACTCCACCACTAAAATGTGAAAATTTTAATAATGGGAAGTTAATTATATACATATAAGTCAATAAAAAATAAACAAAAAGGAAACTATTTAAATAAGAAAACTTAAAAAAATTGAAAAACTGAAACAAAATATTGAAACTTTCAATTAATTTATAAATCTTAATTGTTTATTAAAATAAACAAATTGAATTGAAATATTTAAAACAAAGATTACAATTTTTAATTTTAACAAAAAATAAGTATTTTTCATTTTATTACCTTATGATTAACTGTTTGTTGGAGACAATAGAATATATTGGGGCATCATGAGCTGTAAAAAATAAAAATGTTTTATTACATACTAAATCAAAACTAACACTATGATGTAATGAATGTATGCAAATTTTACATTTACCTTTAAACTTATAGTAAGGATATTTATGCAATTCTTCAAATTGTTCTGAATCATCTTTTTCCAGGTATGGAGATAAACTGAAAAAAACAAAAAACTTCAATACTATTTAAAAAAATAACAAAACTAAGAATCAAATGTCAAAATTATCTTGAATTCAAAGACGAACTGGCAGAAGTAGGCTATGTGGGCAATAAATAACAAACCTTTATGTTTATTTCTGCAATCAGTTTTCCTTCAACAGAGTATAGAATTTACCAACTAAGAAAATTTTCATGTAAACTTTGTTAAAAAGAATTAGGCAATGTTGGCAATAAATAAACACAGGAGATTTATCAGGGTTCCCATGGTCTATAATTTTTTTTATAATGGTAGCAAAAATGAGATATATCTGGATGTTTTAAGCTATCAATAAGTATTTAATTTAAAGGAAATATACATGAGAGCAAAAAATAGCTTGGGAATAATATAATCCACAAAGGAAAGATAAATTTAAGCCTTTTTCAGTAGCCTTGAAACATTTCGATGAATGCAACTCAAAAGAAAATTTTGAGTTTCTAAAGAACATTTAGAGTTTGAGGGAGAAAATTTAGATTTAGTTTTAATATTACAAATTTTGTATACGCAATCAGATTTTGAAGTTCGTCTATAAAATTGTCGTCTTTCATAGTGGTGTGACATCATTACTTGATCATTTGTAATAATTATGAAAAATAGCAATATTTTCATAAAAGTTATTAATTTTTTTATCGTAACAGAATTTTTTTGTTGCATTTTTAAAATGTAAACTTTACTTATTTTTTGAAAACTTTGATTTGAAAAAAAAAAATGGAAATAAATATTAATCTGAGGATGAAATTCAGTCCACTGATTTTTTCTCAAAACCATTTCAGTCCGCAGGACTAAAGAGAGGCACCCATGTATCTTAGCTACCATTCCTTTTTTTTCTCCAGGTCATGGAAACCGTGGTTAACAATGCAATACTACTAGAAAGTAAAATTACTATTCCTAAAATGCTTACTTTACTTGAATAAAGCACGGTGTAACTTAAATTATGAAGAATTGATTAAAATATTTTACAATAATCCTGAAACTGTTATTTTGTTAGAGGAAAGTTTTATCCTTTTATTTTCTGCATGCAGGTTCTACACACTAAGAAGTTCATTGTTGATAGTTAAAGGAAACATCCACAAGAAGATAAAAAAAAAGATATTTATTCTAGAGAAATAGTAAAATTATGTTTATAAAATTGCGAGCAAAGCTAGTTTATATAATAAATGAAAAGTTTTTTCATTTATTATATAAACTAACTTTGTTCTCGTAGATTTTAATGTTGTATTGAATTTGTTTTCAAGAAAGGGCTGATTACTGTATTACCTATTTAAAAACAGTTTTGTATAACGGGATACCTATAGTTTGTCTAAAGTAAGAACTACCCTAGCCATTCGTCTGGACCTGTGGCGGTGACTATGGTAACAAGGTACAACTATTTCAAGTAGGGGTGTGGGGTTTTATATTTGAAACGAAACATACAAGTTATTCAAAAGTACTTCCCATTGGGGAAGTTTTAAGTTATGAGATAAAGATACAAACTTATATAATTCTTAAAAAATATAAAGGTTAATTATAAATGAAAAATAATTTTTATCTAATAAACCAGTAAATAAGAAACTTAAACGAAAGATATGGTAATTAAAATGCTTACTTAAAGATAGCAATGTCTCCATATGTATTACCAGCAACAAGATAATGCCCACATGAAGAATAAGCAACAGAATAAATATTTGTATAATACTGTTTAAGCTGCTCCATGAAGAAATAGCTATATCAAAGTATCTAAATATAAGATGAATAGAAAGCAATAAAATATCAATAAAATCATTCATAAATAACATTAAAAAAATTTGCTTTAAATTGAAAAGGAAAAAAATTTTTTTCTTTAAGGTTCCAATACCTTTTGTTTATTTCAGTTAACAAAACAAACTATTATGAAAATTTTATATAGGTAAATTTGATACAAAAATGATATCAGAATATGATATAAAACAATATTAACAAAAAGATTATAAGAATTATGCCTTTCAAAAAAATTAGCTTTTAAGAATTGTGGCGTAACAACCACTAGAAATATTGAATATCAATTCACTAGTATATAAGACATGTTAACTTGATTCTATCAAGAGGTACCTTTTGATAGATGAAGGTTGAGATAGTCTATAATTATAACCCCTCATTGGTGAACTACGGATGTGATATGAACTCGCCAACATGATGGATGGTCCGTATTAAATCAGTTAATTTGCTAAAAAAAATACTGCTCAGTAAAAAAAAAAAAAAAATCCGGTGAAGTAAATAAAGTCTCCCGGTTAACAAAACAATAAAAAATTGAGAAGAAAAAAATTATGAGTGAAATGCTATAAGAAAAAATAATAAATAAATAAAATTAAAAACTGAAAAAAATTATAATGAGCAAAAATGATATAAATAAATAAATAAAAACAGCAACTAGTGGCATTCAATCATCGAATTCTATCACAGATAAAAGTCTAGAAAGGGAGTAATGTGGAGTAACTACCACTATAAATATTGAATACCAATTCATTAGTATATGAGACATGTTAACTTGATTCTATCTTGAGGTACCTTTTGATAGATGAAGGTTGACATAGTCTGTAATTAAATCCCCACAGAATAAAATTTATATTGAAAGCTACGTCATTTATACGATTTGAAAATGAATAGATTATATAACAAAATTCATCTGTCTTCGATTCTTTTAGTTATAAACGGAAGAAATTACGTAGTTATTAAAAAAAAATAAGGAAAATTTACAATATACTTGATTAATTGTTTTAAACAGGTGGAGATGCTTAAATTTTCTTTCTTTGCAACATAAGATTTGAACTTGCTGCAAAATAAGATTGATTATTGCTAGGATATAAGTGAATTTTGTAATTGTTTACGAAAATTTCAAAACAAATCTTCATGGAACATGTACAGCCGTACTGATCCGAATCAATATAGCGTACTTAATAAACTGGAAAAGTTCATAAATCCAAGAGTTGTACGTAAAATTTTTTTAAAACTTAAAAACTCAGTTGAAACATATTTTTCAGTTCATATTTAGAATGGTAATTGCTTCATTTCTTCTTAACTTTTAAATTAGCTTTCAGCTCTTTTTTCTCGTTAGAACTAAAACTGCATTCTCACAAAATACAAAAAAAATTGCATGAGCAGCAAGAATGGTATTTAAAATAAACACCTGGCATCAGTAGTTATTGGTATATTTTTATCTGAATATGGCAACTTTAATATATTTGTTTTTTTATTGACGAAGTTCTTTTTTGTTGTTGTTTGTCGTGTCTGTCGCAGCTCGTAGCAATTGATTAAATTTCTACTGTAAGGGTAGCATATTTGTACGTTTTTATATGATCTATACTATTTAATAATTATATCAACCGAGCTATTACTTTTCGAAACTAATGTAGGGAATTCTTAAATTTGCAACCTATGAGTAATATAGATTTAACTGTCACTCTTTTCAATATTTAGTTTAGTCCATATTATCTTTTTCCTCCATATTCACTCATTTTATTTATTCTTATTAGTTCAATTTTCTTAAATGTGCGATTGTAAATAATATTATTTTACTTAGTTTACAGTATTTCTTATTGCTGCAATGAATTGTTAAAATTGCACTTTTTAGACCGTACTATGATTTACCAATGAAATATATCAAGGATAAATAGAATTTTTGAATTTTTCATTGATATGTTAATGCTATAACGTATTTAGTAAGCGATCTTCTTACTTAAATCAATTAATTTTATCCTTTGGAAAGTTTTTAATGATTTTGTACTGTAATGTCTCTAAATAACAAGTAATTAATCTTATAACTTAATTTTTATTAATCATTGATCAAAACTCTACTTTCTGTTTTTGTCTATAAAATAGTCAGCAGTGATAAGTTTCTATTTATTGTTAGCAATTATTTTAATATTTTATTTCAGTAGTGTGCTGATATGTATAATGGAATTGGACTACAGACCCCTCGAGGGAGTGGCACAAATGGTTATGTTCAAAGAAACATGTCATTTGTCCCCAAAAGTCGAGAGAAAGTTAATTATAAAACTGAAGAAGACATTAAAAAACTTGATGCTTTATCGAATAAAAAACCAAATCAAGGGATATTGGCTCATGAAAGAAAGCGCACCATCGAACTAAAATGTTTAGAAATGCAAGAATTAATGGAAGAGCAAGGGTATGTATTAGATTTATTACAATGGTTCAAATAAATTCAATCCGTTTTATCTAACTTCATTCTTTACAATTTTCCACTTTTTTGCTATTATTTAAGTGTAATATCTAAATGTAAATAGCTTTTATTCTATGTAAATTTTTGTGAAGAATGCTATTATTTACAAAAATATTTTTTATCACAAAAATTGGCACCCCAGAAAGATAAAACTTGGATTAACCTCTATATTTCAATGCAGGCTACTTTTAAAAACTGAAAGTTTTTAATAAACTTTTTCAAATTTTTTTTTCTTACACAATTCCACATTTTTTTTCTTCATAAGTTATTTCTTTGATAGGTATGAAATCAGGGATCTTTCCAGGCCAAATTTACTACCGTTTAGCGGTACCTTAACAAATTCAACTTCAGGAAAAACGAAACACCACAACAAAGTTTCACAAAATACTTTTTCTTAAAATTTTATTTTTGTATCGCATAAGAAACAATTAATTAATTTTTTACCATACTTTTGTGTTGATTTTTTAATAAAAGTTAATAATAATTTTTCACAAATTATGTCGAAATTTTCACAAAATAGGTACCTTTCAGAAAAACCTAGACAGACCCGTGGAAATTCTAACTATGTACATTTATCATTTCTTTTTTCAATTATAGATCTTAAAGCAATGTAAAATGTAATTTTAATTATAGAAAAAGCTGAGCATATAAAATATGAAGTTCATTTAAGTAGTTAAATCAATATTCAAATAAATCACTGTAAGCTTTCTGAATGTATGCTAAGTATTAATTATAATTTCTAGAATTGTTTTGTAGTTTTACTTCAATAATGCACTTAAAGAAATGTACTATTGAATAATTAAAGGTGAATTAGTAATACTGGTTTTTCTCTTTATTCATACAATTTAATGCTCTCACTATTGAAATCAAAATTGGGTCTTGAAGCAATTTAAAATTTTATAAGACATTGTCCATATTTAAAAAAAATTAATTGAAAGAATTTGTTTTTCTCTTTTTGAATTCTCAAAGGAAAAAAGAATAGCAAGGTGTATTTGGTAGCTGCAATTAATTTTAGCTCACCAACAAAAAACATCCAGTATTTTCTTGGAATTTTTAAGGGGTGGATAATTTTTTGGAAGAAAAGAAAGAAAAAGGAATTTTTATTCTAAACTTAAATTTCTCCACTAAAGATTAATAAAGGTGTATTATTAAAAAAATATTTAATAAAAATTTTTATCAAGAAATGCGGGAATTATTTATAGGAGAAAATTTTATGTTTTGCAACTAAAATATTTATTTTATTCTCAGGTATCCCGATGAGGAAATCGAAGCAAAGGTAGCATTTTTTCGCAAAATGCTCTTAGAAAAAGATGGTGGTGGTGAAAAAGAGATTCCAAAAGATGAATTTGGACGTCCTCTGTAAGTTTTTCTGAATTATAAAACAATATAAATATTTTTTTTAAATTATTACTTATTTTTAAAGAAAAATTTCAGTTTTTTTTAAAAGCTATGCTTTTTTTTTATCAGTGTCTTCACCAGCTCTTCACTGTTGTTCAGCAAAACTTCTTAAACTTCATTGATTTAGATTATATTGAGATTATATAATTTTTGAAAAAACTTGAAAATTGCTTCAGCATTAGCAGCAAGCTTCAAAATGTAATAATATGAAATCTTATTTCAAATAAATAGCCGAAATCTTATATTTTCTGACAAAGAAGTAGATAGCTACAAAAAATTTATAATTTTAGTGCAATTAATTTTCTTTGAAATCTTTAATTGTAAAAGCAAAACAAAAATAATCTGTAAGATACGTATTTTAAAACTATTTCAAAATTTAATATAGATGAGTGGCTGATCTTCATATATAAGAGTATATGCAGTGTATTCACACACCTATACATCAGTTTTTGAAAATCCTGGAAAGTCTCAGATTTTGACCTAGGTCAAAATTGGTCATTAAAAGTTATAATTTTCAATGAAAAATATAAAAATTATGGACTTTCCCAATTCATCATGGATTTTGGGTGTTAAAGCCGTCGATCCTGTTTTAAACTCATTTCCTGGTTTGTTATGTACAAAACAACGTTATTTTCCCATTCTTTAATTATTCTACCTACTTACCAAGATTGCAAGAAAGCACAGGGTTTCAAGTGTTGGGTACCGCAGTTCTATTTTTTAAAAATTTTATTTGTATTTTATTCTTATTTTTTATATAAATAAAGTAATGCTTAAAATATTTTTATTAATCATTATTTTCATATTTAATCACTATTTGATAAAAGCATCTTTATTTACCGTACATATCTAAGAATTTCATTTTCTGTATCATATTATTGGCAATTTTTTTATGATACAGTACAGAACCCATTATCCAGAAATCAGAAAACTGGAAAACCAAAAAACCGGAACGAAATTCGATAAATTTTCTTTCGATTTTTCTTTCTTTTTTGAAAGATGTTTACCTTACCGTCATTTTGAAAATAATCATCAGTGTATCACTTCATCGTTTTTTCTTCTTTTTAAGATTATTTCCAAATATATATATTTTTTAGTTGGGTTTAGCAATAAAAAAATGGTTTTTTGTAGCAATTCAGATAACGGGAAAAATCAGTTATCCGGAATAGCGATGGTCCCGATCGTTCCGGATAATCGGTTCTCTACTGTATAAATACAATGTATAAAAACAAAACACACAAAATAAATAGTAAGTATAAAGTTTGAAGTATTTGTGTTTTTGTTGTAAGAGTGTTCTTGTACATAAAACAATATAGCTCAATAGCCATAGAATTATTATGTTTACATTTTTTATATGCAGTTTTATTTAGAAGAATTTTTTTATATTGAAGCAAGAAATTTATTCAGCTAAAATGGTTAGAGCAAAATAAGCTAATTTTAGTATTCTATTTTTTAAATGTTTTAAGTTTGAAAAATTTTGAAGTTAGTATTATGTTTGTTTAGAATTTGAAATGTTATTTTTCTAAATTAATTTATGTTTTTTTTTTATATGTTTAAATTAATTTGATAGTATATGGAATAATGTTATAATTTTTATTATATAAAGTTAACAATAATTTCTAGAGTTAACCTTTAAAAAAAAGCATATTTGAGTTTTGTGAGATATAAGGATTTTACTTTATAAATTTTCTTAAAAGGCATTAAGTATTTTAAAAACTTTGTTCTAATTTGTATATTTGTCACCATTAGTTACTGGGTTATTTGTTTTTCGATTTGTTTAGTTCTTTTTTACAGCTATTGTTTAAATTGACTTATTAAAAAAATGCACAAAGTACTGCTCAAATAAAACAATATTGTTTTTTAGAAAGGAAGTTACACTTGTTCCGACCTTTTTTAGATTATATTGAAAAATAATATATTAACTCGTGTAAGTCATAGAAAGTTATTGGTACAAGTCATGGATTTAAAAAAAATCAAGATTTAGTTGATACCCTGTATATAAGTGCAAAGTATAATTCTCCTGCTAATAGTTTTCAATATTCTGAAGTAATCACACCGGACAAAAAAATTAGTCACTGTTAGAGAAATTGTGAAAAATATTTAATAACGTGTAACATGGTATATGTATAACCTCCTGGATTCAGTTAGGAAGTGAATCCAGTTTAAGCCACTCTCTGATGATTTGATCATGCAAATCTACAAAATTGCAAGGATGCTGATTTCAGCATTTTACCCGTTGTTCCAACATGTCCCACAAATTTCAATGGGGTTCAAGCCAGGTGATCTTGCATGCCAGTCAAGATGTAATTGAGTGTTCAGAAAACCATTAACATATTCTTCCAATCCGAACAACTTTAATGTAGTCGTCTTGAAATATAAGGGTATTGACAGTATACTCTTCATGAAG